ATTTTATTTATTCATTTGAGACACAGAGATATATATATATAGAGAGAGAGCATGAGCAGGGGGAGAGGCAGAAGGAGAGGGAGAAGCAGGCTCCCCGCTGAGCAAGGAGCCCAGTGCAGGACTCAATCCCAGGACCCTGGGATCATGACCTGAGCCGAAGGCAGAAGCTTAACCATCTGAGCCACCCAGGCGCCCCATGAACAGACATTTCTGCAAAGAAGATATCCAAATGGCTAACAGACACATGAAAAAGTGCTCAACATCACTCGGTATCAGGGAAATACAGATCAAAACCTCAATGAGAAACTACCTCACACTGGTCAGAATGGCTAACCTTAACAAGTCAGGAAACGACAGATGTTGGCAAGGATGCGGAGAAAGGGGAACCCTCCTACACTGTTGGTGGGAATGCAAGCTGGTATAGCCACTCTGGAAAACAGTATGGAGTTTCCTCAAATGGTTAAAAATAGAACTACCCTATGCCCAGCAATTGCACTACTGGGTGTTTACCCAAAGATACAAATGTAGTGATCTGAAGGGGCACCTGCACCCCAATGTTTATAGCAGCAATGTCCATAATAGCCAAACTATGATAAGAGCCTAGATGTCCATCAACAGATGAATGGGTAAAGAAGATGTGGTATATATATACAACGAAATATATATATAATGGAATGTTACACAGCCATCAAAAATGAAATCTCGTCATTTGCAAGGACGTGGACGGAACTAGAGGGTATTATGTTAAGCGAAATAAGTCAATCAGAGAAAGACAATCATCATATAATCTCACTGATATGTGGAATTTAAGAAACAAGGCACGGGATCATACGGGAAGAGAGGAAAAAATGAAAAAAGACGAAACCAGAGAGGGAGACAAACCATAAGAGACTCTAAATCTTAGGAAGCAAACTGAGGATTGCTGTAGGGGAGGGGGGTGGGGGAATGGGGTGGCTGGGTGATAGTCACTGGGGACGGTATTTGTTGTAATGAGCACTGGGTATTATATAAGACTGATGAATCACAGACCTGTACCCCTGAAACAAATAGTAAAAAAATTAATAACATGGTTTAAAAAATAAAAATAAAGAAGAAATGAATGGATGGAAGTTAAGATGGACACACTAATGCTTCAGCAAATCTTGACTTTAAACTGCACAAATTTTTCTCTTCCTCATTCTTGAGGCCTCCCCTCCCTTTCACTTGTTCTTCTGTAGAATCTTCTGTTCCAAGAACTGGGTGATGTAGATACTTAGTAATGAGACTTGGATGGCCCATGGCAGCGCTAGTCCTGAGACCACCTTGAAAACATAAGAAACGTAGGGACAGCACGTACCAGATTCCTGTCGAAACTGCCCAGATCCTGTAATGCCCATGGAATCCCTCAGCCTTTTGCCCTGGGCGGGCTTGCAGTCTTGGAGGCATCAGTCTGCTGCAGCCTCCTTCGCCTGGCGAAGCAATAAACTATCTTCCTTCTTTATACCCAAGCTCTGTCTTCGCCTTACAAATTTCGGCCCCAGAACACAAAAAGTCAGTTTTGGACAACACTTAGAAGGGAAGGCAATCCTAAAACAACCTATCTCTGGGCCTCAGACTTCAGAAGGGGTGTGTTAGAGAAGGCAGCGGCAGTGCATGTTAAACTGTATCAAAGTTTGCCAATTCTCTGGCCACATCCCTTCTAGGAGATCAACCTAGAAGATGCTTCCTAAGAACACTAGAAAGCGACCTAAGAGGTTTGGTACAAGATAGCAGAAACAGAAAAGTAGCCTGAGGAGTAGAATTTTAAGAAGAGGGGAGAATTTTTAAAATTTCTGTTTGGTCTTTAATCTGTCTCGAGGTTTCCCTTTTTCTTCCAGGGACCAACCTCACGACAGTCACGGGTTTCCGCAGCGAACGACACTGCAACGCAAGAGGAGGGCCCTCCGCCGGGCAGGGAGCGGGCCGGGCCGGGGCGGGGCGGACGGCGCTCACAGGACCCGGAAGTCCCGCCCCGCGGAACGTCAGCTGTGTCGGCCTTTGGGCGGTTCTCTGGGTGGGAGGGGCCGTTTGGGTGGGCAGTTGTGATGTCACTACCCCTTGTCGGGTTGCTACGGCACCACTGCTAAGATTAGGTATTTTTGGCTGACTGAAAAAAGGGGAGTGTGGGCTCAGAGCGCCGGGAAACGGCTCCAGGTGCACGAAAGCTGAAACGTGGGGGCTCGCGTGCTGCCGCCACAACAACGGTAAAACGGAAGTCCTCCCGCGCAGCTCGGCGTCCGGGCGGAAACAGCGTTCTTCTCGGAGCTGAGGCCCCGAAGCTTCGGGCTTGGGCGGCCTCGGGCTTGGCTGCTGGGAGCTAAGGGAGCATCCTCAGCTGGTAAGAGGGAGGAGGGGAACTTGGCGCGTACCTCCCGCCGCGCGGGAGAGCTGGAGCGCACTGCCAGCCTTGCCGCAACGGTTGTGTTAATGCCTCGGAGCAGCCTAGGTCTCCCGACGGAAAGGTTCGTTTCCTTACCCGACATTTAAACATGGATAAATACGCCGCCTTCCAGGGTAGTCCTGTTTCCCTGGATCGCAGAGCGCCTTTTTGCTTCAAGACGTTATGTGATGCTCCCAGTTTCTGAATTCTGATACGCTGCTGGGCATAATATTTAAACACAAAGGTGTTAATTTCCTTTCTTCGTAGTTGGGCCGGAAATAAGATTCTTTCTCTTGCAGGTATTGATGTTGAGTATACTTTTTTAGCATATTAAAATGGCTGTACCCAAAACCGCCATCCCCTCCTTGTCGGAATGCCAGTGCCGCATCTGTGTGGAAATCCTAATCGAGCCCATAACGCTGCCTTGTAACCACACGCTCTGTAACCCATGCTTCCAATCGACTGTCGAAAAGGCGAGTTTATGCTGTCCCTTCTGTCGCCGCCGGGTCTCTTCGTGGACCCGATACCATGCCCGAAGAAATTCTCTTGTCAACATGGAACTGTGGGAATTAATCCAAAAACACTATCCAAAGGAATGCAAGCTTAGAGTTTCTGGGCAGGAATCAGAGGAAATCGGTGAGTAAAACCCAGCGTACGTGTTGTCTGAAAAATCAAAATCCTTTAAAAAGTGAATCACCACTAATCCATTTTCGAAAAGGATAAAAAGCCGATTAATATTTGTCTAAATTTTTCTCTGGGATTTGGGTTTTATGGGCCCCAAAATGTGGATTGAGGTCTATGGTAACATTTTGTTCATTGTTAGAATGCCCAGGCTGAGTTCAGTTGTTTGTTGGGTTGAAAATGACAACAAAGAAACAAACCCAGAAGAATGGCCCACATAGAGCCTTCAGTCATGTGAAAGTTATATAAATATTCACAGATGAGCAGTAGTCAGTCAGTAGAGCAATCGCGGAAGTACAAAAAGTACTGGATTCCTGTATTACTATTTCTTTTACTTTCAGTTCTTTTTTTTTTTAAGATTTTATTTATTTATTTACACACACACACACACACACACAGAGCGCAGGGAGAGGAAGAGGCAGGCTCCCTGCAGAGCAGGGGGAACCTGATGTGGGACTTGATCCCAGGACCCCGGGATCATGACCCGAGCCGAAGGCAGTTGCTTATCCAACTGAGCCACCCAGAAGCCCCAGTTATTTCCTTAACTTACTTGATTACAGCAATACATCTCCATTCATTTAATTCTTCCGTTAGGCATGCAGTGAACCTCAACTAGCTTTTAGTAATCAGTTCCATCTAGTTCAGTTATTATTTAAAGCCCTCCACCCTGTAGACTCAACAGCTCTTCACTGTGTCCCATACTGAACGCTTGACTCTAGCACACTTAATGTGATCAATAAGCCATGCAGTGTTTCTTGTCTAGGCTTTGAAAATGGTGCCTGTGCTCTGGTGTACTTGCCTTTTTTTGGGAATTACTTTTATGTGCTCAATATATATAACATATTTGCCATTTTAATGATGTTTTCAGCAGTAGTTACACTTTATTAAGCTTTATTGATATCTGCACATAGAATTGATACATTTAAAGTGTATAGTTCACTGGTTTTGGTATTTCACAAGATTAGTTTTTCAGAATTGTAAAATATATATAGCATAAAATTTTTTTTTTAAGATTTATTTATTTGACAGAGAAATAGCAAGAGCATGAACACAAGCAGGGGGAGTGGGAGAATGAGAAGCAGGCTTCCAGCTGAGCAGGGAGCCGGATGTGGGACTCGATCCCGGGACTCCAGGGACTCCAGGATCATGACCTGACCTGAGCCAAAGGCAGTCGCTTAACCAACTGAGCCACCCAGGCACCCCCATTTTAACCTTTTAAGTGCACAATTCAATGGCAGTAATTATATTCACAATGTACAACCATCATCATTATGTTTCGAAAACTTTTTTTTTTTAAGATTTTATTTATTTACTTGAGAGAACATGCATGGGGGGGGGAGGGCGGCGGGTGGGAAACAGAGTCCTTGCTGAGCAGGGATCCTGGTGCAGGACTCCATCCCAGGACCTTGGGATCATGACCTGAGCCAAAGGCAGACACTTAACCGACTGAGTCATCCAGGTGCCCCTCCAAAACTTTTTCATCACCCTAAATTCTTTAACCATTAGGCAGTGACTCCATTTTTCTCCTTTCCCATCCTTTCTTCCCAAGTGTCTATCGACTTTGTGTCTATGAAATTGCTTGTTCTAGATATTTCATACAAGTGTATTCATACATTATGTGATCTGTTGTGTCCGACTTCTTTCAGTTGATGTTTCCAAGGTTATACACAGCTGTAGCATGTATTAGTACTTCATTCCTTTGTAGAGCTGAATAATGTTTTATTTTATGGATTGTATTATATTTTGTTTTTATCTTCATCCATTGACGGACATTTGAGTTGTTTACAGCTTTTGGCTATTTGAATAGTGCTGATATAAATATTCATGTATAATAAGTATTTGAACATTTCCTGTTCTTTTGTGTATGTACCTAGGAGTGGAAGTGCTGGATCATATGGTAATTCTTTTTTTTTTTTTTTAAATAAAGGTAGAAAGGATACTTTTTATTTATTTATTTTTTATTTATTTATTTTTTTAAAAGATCTTATTTATTTATTTGAGAGAGAGAGAATGAGAGATAGAAAGCACGAGAGGGAAGAGGGTCAGGGGGAGAAGCAGACTCCCTGCTGAGCAGGAAGCCCGATGTGGGACTCGATCCCGGGACTCCAGAATCATGACCTGAGCCGAAGGCAGTCGCTTAACCAACTGAGCCACCCAGGCGCCCAAGGATACTTTTTTTTTAAAAGATTTATTTATTTGTCAGAGCACAAGCAGGGAGAGCTGCAGGCAGAGCAGGCAGAGGGAGAAGCAGGCTCCCCGCTGAGCAAGGAGCCCAGTGCAGGACTCAATCCCAGGAGTCTGGGATCATGACCTGAGCTGAAGGCAGGTGCTTAACTGACTGAGCTACCTAGGCATTTCTCATATGGTAATTCTATGTTTAACTTTTCGAGGAACTGCCAAACTTTTCCATGGGGCTGTGCCATTCTGCATTCCCACCTGCAATGTATAATGGTTCCAGTTTCTCCACATCCTCACCAACACTTATGTTCTGTGTTTTTGGTGTTTTTTATTTTTGTTTTTTAAAAATAGCCATCCTAAGTGACTGCCTTCGGCTCAGGTCATGATCCTGGAGTCCCAGGATCGAGTCCCACATCAGGCTCCCTGCTCGGCGGGGAGTCTGCTTCTCCCTCTGATTATTTAAAGCCCTCCACCCTGTAGACTCAACAGCTCTTCACTGTGTCCCATACTGAACACTTGACTCTAGCACACTTAATGTGATCAATAAGCCATGCAGTGTTTCTTGTCTAGGCTTTGAAAATGGTGCCTGTGCTCTGGTGTACTTGCCTTT